CGAGACGGATCCTTCCGAGCCGCGAGAAAATTCTCCTTCCCAAGAATGGCGCCGCCGCAAATCACTATACACCTATTATATTATTTCTGATTCTGGCAATTGATTGACGTCCCACTCCATGGAAAAGTTGAAATTTTCGGAAAACTGGTCGGTATTTGGGAGGAGTTGAGAAGACGGTAGGTACGATGAGGAAGGGATCGTGCTGGAAGAAGGAATTATCGGGGAAGGGGGGAGTAGGGGACTGGCACCGCCACACTTCACTGAGTGAGTGGGACTGACACCGCCACACTCCACTGAGTGAGGTGTGGCAAAACGCCCTCTCGCAGCCCTTCCACCAATGACTTTGGCAGGGACCGCCCGCCCCCAGCTATCATGTCCAATGCCTTTAAGATGGAACAAACCAACTTATCGGTTGCAAAACTGTTTTAGATTAAGTAGATGTTGATATGAATTGCATTTTCGAAACAACTAGCTAGGAATACTACAGCTGTTTTACGAGCGATGCCACGACTCGGACCAGGCACCGCCACTCTACCACTTTAGTAACTTACGGGAAGAACTTGAACGCTTTCACCGTGAAGCCGTTCGACTCGAATGCTTCAGTCAGGGTTTGTTCGGAAATGTTCGGTGGAATGTTCGACAGATGAAGGGTGCAGCTTGGTGGATAAATGTTCATGTAGTTTTTGCTGCCAGGCTTCTTGAAACGATGTAGCGTCGAATGAGAATAATCCCTGGTTAGACCCGCATCCGGCTGACCTGAAAACATTGTTTGAATTAGGATGTCAACCGTGACGATTCATTCACGATTCAAACTATGACACTGATATTTCACCACGGATGATGAGAGATTCGTGCTCACTATGGTAGCACCACACTGGACACAGAGGACTCATAGAGATTGTGATTTTCGTTATACCAACGTTTTCAATATTTCACGTGATGAATGAGCTCTCTTCTCGAAGTTCAGGTACTATCAAAGTTGTTCGCAAAATTGGACATTTTTCAGACATTATATGGACATTTTTCAGACTTTATAACCCATTCGT